TATGACCGAGGCCTGAATTTAAAGAAAACTAGGAATGAACACAATTGGGAAATTCGTAGGGCTTAGAAAACCTTCGCTAAAAAGGAGCATATTCAACCATTCAATGAACCTCGCCGTGTCTAGTCATATTATGGTGTAGTCTATAGAATAGATGCAAAAAATTAGAAAAGAAGTAGCGCATGCGCGAAAAAAATAAATATTTTGTGTGTGCAGCGCATGCGCTGCACACGGTCCCACACGGTGCTCAAGGTGTGATGCGCATGCGCTGCACAATGTCGTCAACGTGTTAAAAATATGTAGCAGTGTATGCACGCGTTGAGAACTACACAGTGGCAAGGTCATTAGTATCGGCTAGTTCTCGCTCTGCACAGTGTGAGCCATATATGCGGACAAGTTCTTCTACGCGATGGAGTGACACTAACTTTCACTAGCAGCTGTCGTAGGAAATTAAGCTATGGGCAAAACACTTCGCCCTGGGCGGGGTGCACATGCTGCCATAATAAGACATTGATCCTTGGCTTCATTGCTGCTCATTCGAGCACATTTTTCTCTTCAGGGACATTCCAGCAATTCTGGACAGCTTCTCAGGAAATTCGTGTTATTGAGCGTGAGAGCAATTCTTCACCCTACTTGGCAAAGCGACGACGACAAGGCGCTCTGTCAATCGTTGTTTGAGCAGCGATGTTTGCATTTCCAGTTCTACTGCTGTTGCAGGGCTTTTTTACCCGCGTGGCGCTACTGCTGCGTTAGTGTTTGCTGAAGAGCTGAAATGACTGGAAGTTCGCTGACGAGAGAGAATCGCGCAAGCGGTGACTAATGTCAGCATCTTTACGCATCTCCGCCTCTTCTCTCCGCACCCACCCTATTGACTCCCTCAGGGGTTGGCGACGCTTCCCTGATTGTGCCTTGATGCCAATCACTGCTTTTCCGACCAAGCTTCTCTTCCATTGACTTTCTAATCTGCATATAACTGCATGAGTTGGTTTTAAATAGAATGGTGTACTATTTGCCCCATTTGGTGCTACTTCTACTGAGTGTAAGTCACGAAATTTTTCAGCAAGCCAATTTGAAGAGTCCATAATTGAAGCAGTGCCGAAGGCATGCGGAAGGTTAAATTTTCGAGCTTGACTCCCTTCTTGGCATTTTTGCGTTGAGGTCTTTTTTTCTTATTTTCTTTCAGTACTTTTACAGCTTAGCTAAGCTATATTGATGAAATATTTTGTATTAGTCTGAGCGACTGAGTTAATCGAGCAGAACTCATGCGAAGATTCGTAGGGATTTTTTTCTCGAAACCACTCTCCGACTTCCGCAGCACGGATGGATGTATGTACGTAGCAAATTTGATTTATTCGTGCCTAGTATCTCTGAACCCCAATGGGGACGTACATTCGATTTATATTCAAAACCTAGTGGGACCTATAAAATATGTAAATTGTGGCGCGTGTCGATGCAGCCCAAGGTTTTTGCTCCCAGCCATGTGTAGTCACAACTAATAATTGGCGGCTAGAGTATTTCATTTCCAGGGACACCGATCCCCCTTCCTCACGAGTTAAGGAAGCTTTGAGACGCCTCTTTGCTCATGCATACTTTTATTCAATCTACCCTCTAGAAAACAAAGGTGCGATCTCACCATTTCAATTCTTGTGTCATATATGTAGGCTATTCGCTTTCAAAAAACCCGGCCCACTGTCATTCCAAAACGTGGACTCCTCTCTTCACGATTTGCACGTATTTTGAACAATGACAGCTAGTTGCCAGCTAGTTGCCAGCTAGTTGGCTCCCATTTGTGTGGTAACTTAAGGCCGCGATTGAATTCTAAGCTAAGTTCCTTCCTTGAGTGAGGTAGCATGACCCCAAATAACAAGGGTGTTGGTGCTGTCACGTCCTAAAAGTGCACGGCAATGGAGCTGGTACTTTCACTCAACCGCTGCGACCGCTATCTCATACCTTCTAATCGCAGCGTACATAGCGTTTGCCCCCTCTTGCGTACGACGACTTCTCTCGCATTTTCTGCAGCGTTGTATCCTTCGGTTGTGTCGCGGTCGATTTCACAAGAGAAATCCCAGTAGTTTCTATGAGCTTTTTGCCTTTTCTCGCTAACGTTCTCTTCTCAATTCTTGTTTAAAGGCACAACCCAGGCAGAGGTCGTGTGAACGCTTCCCTTCGGTCTGTAGTATAGAACCCTAGAGGACAATCACAAATGTGGCGTTCCCGTGCACGGAAACCAACCGACAAGAGCGCTTGGGCCTTGCAAAGTAAGCTGCTGAAGCTGCAGTTTTTTCTCTTATCAGGCTGTTGTCTGGCGCTCTCTCATCTGTAGCGCTCTCTCGCCTCATACTCTCCTCTCCGCGCTTAGTCTCTCATTCCCTTAGCACAGCCGATTAGGAAGGTGAGTGAGCCCTCAACCTGAGCGTTTTCGACGGATTCTTTTCCTTTTTTCTTCACTGCCGGCCCATTTCGCACCAATACATTCCATTCGTGTGCAAGAGCCACACCAATGTGATCCTGGGTCATGGCTTTAATTTTCAAACAAAACACCACCCCAGTTCGATCGCGACCATTGCTTTTAATGTATCCTATAGCACAAATCACACAGGTGAATCACCTTTCATTTCTTCTATAGAAATTCCTTGAAAAAAAATATGACGTTTCTTCACCAAAATACTTTCACGTCTTTACGATTCAGATGTCTAGGTCTAGCCCACCCCCACCCCCACGTTTCCAAGAGTATCCCGCGTCAAACATGGTGAGTGTCTGTATCGTCAAAGTCACTACAACTCAATGTCGACTCCGCTCGCCTCGCAGGGTTGTCGACCTATTCAAGATCGATTACACCACGCCACACAACTTTCCTCGTTACGTATGCTTCGGAATACAGCTTAGAGGCACCTCTTCATTTATAGCAAAATGGTGAACAGATGAGGATTTTATTTGAAGCAGGACTTAAGAAAGAGACAACATGCCGAGTCGTTCCTCTAAGAGTACAGAGCCCTTCAAACTAAGCAATTCTTCTTGCAATAATTGCTGCCACTCTTTTATATAATGAATTGAAATGGAGCTTTTTTTTTTTTTTAAATATCTGCTTGCTGGAGGAACAATTCAGCTAGTTATTATGTACTTATGTTCTGCCAGGAGGTTTGTGGGCCGAAACTTTATTGCTGCCAACGTTTCAACCTTCGCGTAGTTTTCAAAGGCCTAAACATGGCTCAAGGCTTAAGAATTGCTCACTAACCCACCAAACGTCCCACCCCTTCTAGTGTGATCTTGGGAACGCTAAGGGAATACCAGAACTTGAAAGATAAGCTCCCCTTAGATTTCACCGCTGGAGACGCTACACTCGCATCATAAATGATATGGAGACATTCAAGTGACATCCATTCGCCAGTGATTTAAAGGCATGCCCCAGGATCACATTGGTGTGGCTCTTGTACACGAATGCGAATGTATTGGTGGGAAGTGGGCCGGCAGTAAAGAAAAAAGGAAAAGAATCCGTCAAAAACGCTTAGGTTAAGGGCTCACTCACCTTCCTAATCGGCTGTGCTAAGGGAATGAGAGACTAAGCGCGGAGAGGAGAGTATGGGGCGAGAGCGCTACAGATGAGAGATCGCCAGACAACAGCCTGATAAGAGAAAAAAGTCTGCAGCTTGGGCAGCTTACTTTGCAAGGCCCAAGCGCTCTTATCGGTTGGTTTCCGTGCACGAGAACGCCACATTTGTGATTGTCCTCTAGGGGTCTATACTACAGACCGAAAGAAGCGTTCACAGGATGCTTCCTGGGTTGTGCCTTTAAGGACATGCACGTTTGCTTATTGAGGAAACAGCTTGCAATGTTGCATGAACGGCAAAGATCATTTCTGATAAACACGCACCCTTTTCGGTTGTTCATCCTTGGATTTCTTGCCGAGATCCAGAATGCTTTCCTTGACGAAACTCTGTCTGTGGCAGAAGCATAGAGTACGCGGTAACAACGAATTATGCCGAGGCAGGGTCAACCCTGCGTTGCGCAAATTCCTAAAATTTTTACGACCCCCTTCCTTTTCGGGGGTATCGGTACGACCCCCCCATATTAACTATCATGTCTTTCACATAATTTAATGCTCATCAATGCTCATCATGGCAGTCACCAACATGGAGAAGTGGTGGACCGTGGTCAATCCGCGCGCTTTGTCTCGCTCAGAGGAGGGAATCGAGGCAAATGAAGTTTTATTCATTAAATAGAAGGAATTTCCAAATTTTTGCGTAAACCAATACATCATTTTAATCGTAAAGATTTCTACTTTCAGAAACCCACCAGGATTTTTTCGATCTCTCAACTTTCCTTACCTTATAATCTGAAAAACTAAACCTTGTAGCAATTACATTGCAATCCAAACCCCTCCATTCAGAAGGTTATATTTTCTTTCAGAAGCTGTTTCATGAAATCGGACACCAAAAATTTTAAAAATATAAATAGTTTTCTTCCTGAGGAGTATTTGAAATGTTGTGGATGTTCAATATTTCAAAAAATCGTCCCGTTGTTCCGTTTTCCGATTTTTGAGAAGGCGCGAGTTTTCGACATTCAAACGTTCATAACTTTCTTCATAATCAACTTTTTGCAGATGTCTAAGGCTAATTAGAAACTAGAGGATTAGCTTTCGAATAAGTGCTAAAACTTCTTGAAATAATCACTCGCTCAAAAAATAGTCCCGTTGTTCCGTTTTTCCACCTTGATTTTTTTCAAGCCATTTTCCTGGACCGCGACTATGCAGTCTTCAAAGGCCCATAACTTCCTTTAAAATTAATGTGATGAGAAGCGGTAAAGATTGTTGGAATCCACTCGAAGAGTACTTCATAACAACTGTGAAATTTTCCTGAAATTCTTTCTTCTGCCTCAATTTTCCTACGGCGTCTCTAGAACTCAATTCAGCAAATTCGCTACACTTTGTTTCGCTTAGATTTTATTTGAAAGCATCGAAACTCTCTTCAGAAAGTTTGTCTGCTTACGGCCGCTGACAGAGGAGGCGTTTTTATGGGAAAACGCCTCGGGTATACGCCGTGCACCTATCTGTGGGCAGAGTTCGCACTCGCATTTGAAGTCTTCTGTTTTCCTGAAGAAGGTGTTAGTATCCTGATTGAGTTGTATTGTGCTGTTATATGGCACTCTTGTTTCACTTTCCCATGAACTGCTCTACACTTTGTTCTCCTCGGGATTTCAGGAATGTTTCATCATCGAAGACAGACCATGTTTTTGCACTACACTGTAACAAAGTTTTTGGCTATTGTCTATTGTACTCTTGATCTATGCCGCGGAGCAAAAGCGCCGTCCGGATAGCGTCGATTAAGGATAATAAGCTGATGGTGAGACTTATAGTGCTCTGCATGCTTTAATGCTCCCATGGAGCTCATGTCTGTGTGACTCTCCGACAGCGTGCAGAGCTCCTGGAGAACATTAGAGGCTGAAAGTGCACTCCCGGACACTGCACTTTTCAAGCCGTCTTGCAGCCCGTCTGTGGATACGACCCCCTCCCTTTTCGGTCGGCTGAATACGACCCCCTCGTTGTTCTTTGCGCAACGCAGGGTTGACCCTGTGCCGAGGTCTGAGGATGAGAAAGCTCGAAGTCTACTCCAGCTGGCTGTTTTTCTGACGAAGTTCGAGGATTTTTATTTGCAATAAGAGCGAACCGTTCTCATTCTCACTGGAAGGAATGAGAAACATCTTCTACTAATAAACGAAACAATTTCCGTTTTAACGTTGACGTTTTGTAAGGAGGGACTGTCACCGATCAACTGATGACATCTGCCACTCACAACGTAAATTTCATCCAGAAAAGGTGTTCCATATTGTCACTAAATTGAGTAGGTTCTGTTCACTGGATAGCCTTCAAAATGGACAGCTTGCGAATGACAGATGTGAAGACCGTTGACGACCTTACTACGATGCTTCCTCCTTTTTGAGAATTACTTATTTATTTATTATTTACTACAGAAGGTGGCTATAATAATTCTTCGATAACTAAACCAGTTCTTTTCGGTTGAGCAATAATTATCCGCCGTCTTCTTCAGGCTCATGGTTCTTTGATTTTTTGCTGATTATTGTCAAAGGTTATGATGCAGTCTGAAAGCGCACAATCTCTTGTACATTTTGATGAACAACACTTTGTATTTGCTGCACTTGGAAGCTTAAAAGTGCTGACGCTGCAGAGGCAAGTTGAGCTCAAAACCAAATGCATCGTAGAATCAATGAAGCCTGCGATGAAGGCACGGTTGCAGAGAGGACTGTTCGAGAGCGTTTGTTGATTACGCATTTATTGTTGTTTTTGTTTGGTTTTGTTAATAAACTTATGAGTGAAATGAAAACGGCGGATAATTTTGCTCAACCTAATAAATCCGAAACACTGATCGAAAATAAATTCAAGCTAAGCAATACTCTACCCATTTCCGTTCGTTTTTAAGTCCTCAGAAACCAATTATTCGAAATTGTTGATGAATAATAAGGCAAGTAAGTCAACGCTTTTTTATTTCCTTTGAGCGCTTCGGTGTTTTGCGCCACTGCAAGTCTGCCGGTAATAATTGAAGCCATCTCGCTCCGCGAAAACACAGCGAGTTAAAAACCATAACCTGATGATTTCTGTATAATCTAGGACATTGTAGTGATAGTGAAGAATGGAATGCTTTTCGCTTATCGTCGGACATTTTTGCTAGATACTTCTCGGATTATCCGAAAAGCCTTCCTTACGCTCTCATTGAACGACCACTGGTGGGCAGCGCTCGCTGAGTGCACGATAACACAGTGACAGGCGTGGGCTTTGCCCAGTGTGTTCTATACGGTGCGTGTGATTTTATTTTGCACAAACACACTCCTTCTTCTGTTTTGTCGCGTGTTGTGAAATGTTCTACTGGGCGCATTCTCGTTCAAGCGTCTTCCAAATAGAAATCCACTACCCATGCCAGAAATTTATATAAGGAATACCTTTACCTCCTACTTCCTACTCACGGTTTTGCTGATGTTTGCCTTCTTTTCTGTCCAGTGACTCTTATTATTATCAATTGTTATTTTTTATTCAATTATTTTATAATTATAATTTTTTGCCATTGTTTATTAAATGAATATGCATTCAGTAGCGGTCAAAAGTGTTCGCCGAAACGATTTTTCGTGCATTATTTTTTCTCACTTGAGCAACGCCCTCCAAAGATTGATATACTATGTTTTCTAGTGTTTTATATCCTTGAGTTTCAAAGAATCAGGATATTCAAAAGAAAAGTTTCGAGATCACCCTGATTTTTTTTTCTGGCAAAAGAAAAGAGAAGCACGAAAAACCGTTTCAGCGAATACTCCTTTCCGCTGCTTTAAGTACGTATACAGTAGCGGTCAAAAGTTTGGAAACTTTTTTATTTTTGATCTAGCGTAGCCAATAGACAATGAAATTGTCCCGAATTCACATATTATATTACAGAATCAAGTGTAGATTACGATGGGCAACATAATTTTTTGAAAACTGAAATTCGCTTTGAAAAATACGAATTTTTATAAGAAATGGCGCGTCAAAAGTTTGGAAACTTCTCAATTCCAAGCGAATTCGGCAAAATAGCTCTCAATCTACATGATAAATTAACTATTCGATGAGTAGCTGTGAATTTCTATGACAGCGTCGTTTTTGTTGACACGGAGTTGACTATAAGATAATTTTAGGACTTTTAAGTCGAACCGTGCACACTGTGAACTAAATCGCATTGTTTGGTGAGATTCCTAACTGGAATGTGGGTTGAGCGACATGCCAGTTCTTCCGTGGGATGTAGAACTCAATTGGACTTTAGATCTCGACTTGGTCGATTCATAGTAGATTCTTTTTCTGGGTTTAGGAAGGCGGCAGTGAGGAAGTAGGCCTGCATTGGGTCATTTCCACG